TACCATATCATCAATACAGTCTAATGTGCGATGATGAATACCTGAATCCCAGTGAGAAATGACAATGGAATCAACGTCGAATCGATGTCAATTTGACATCAATTTGATGATTTCGACGTCAAATTGACATCAATTCGATGTCGATTTCATCATCATTTCTCACTGGGATGAGGTTTGAGTATAGCAAATTCCCTTATCCTTCTGATGACTTTCTATATATATGCAAAGACTTGCGATTCTTTTAGTTTCTAATATTTCAGCTTTTGACAGTTTTTTGCCGCTCGAAACACTCAGTGGACGTATTAATATACATTTTTTCTTTTGCAACATATGATCGATGTGCTTGAATCTTTGATCCGCCATAACAGCACAGCCATCCGGAAGCTTCTGTAAATATTGACCTTCTTCCACTATTGCAGCATCGGTTATTTTTCCACCAAAACCTTCCGATATAAAATTTATATGGCCATCGGGTGTTGCAGATATTAAATATTTTAAGGTGTTGCATTTTTTATCTATATTTCGACCAAGTAATACTTTGATGTATCGGATTGGTTGATTTCTCAATTTCAATTTCAAAACAATCTATTATCGATTACACATTGTAATATTATAATAAGTCCAAAACTGTCACCTAAACGAGAAAACGTGTCGCCTAACTTTATCCTCGATAAAGTTAAACAGATGTTACAAACGGAAATATTTGTTTTTTTAATTAACAGATTTATAATGAAAAATCCATCAGCTGGAAGTCCGATGTACATTTTTGGTTTTTCTTTGATCAAGAGCAAATGTCTTTCTAATGTTTCTATCGAAGAATATTTTTTCTGCAACACCTCATCACTTGTTTCTTCAGAGGGTAAAAATTCCTCGCATGTCTCGAGTGTATCATCGAGGGATGTTTTTGTGACTATCGAACTTGATGAGCTTGATTGAATATTAGCACTGATTTTCTTTGGTACAGTAGAACACTGCGCATCTCTATCATGATTGGTCTGCAATCAATTCCTTTACTTCGTATTTCAACTTTGTCGGTTTGAATCCAACTGTGACGTTGATTAATTTTATCTGTTTGTATTTTTTTATTCTTTAATACAGATGTTACTGATAGTTGAATTCCTTTCACTCCTGAAGGTCCAGGTTCTAACTCTAAATTACGAGGCTCTGTAATAACTTCCTCGATTTCGGCTTTGTCCGTGACTTTGTTTGTAGCTTCGACTGTGGCTTCGACTATGATTCCAGCTTCACAGTTTTCTTCTATATTTATATCTGTAGATTGCTTCCTAATTTTTGGAAGAGCTCCTTTTCTCAAGCGAACATTAGCACTTGGATCAAACAAAATCCGAGTGTAGTTCTCCAAATTCTCCTGCAACTGTATTATAAAATTATTCATGTATAACTGGAACAACACAATTTAAATACACTGTTAGAAAAATGTTGTGAATTCACAATATATTTTGTGAATTCGCAGTAATTGTATTGTGAAATTACAAACACTTCTAACAATGTGTGTGTGTGTGTGTAATATATATAATGCATATAGTAAACAATAACTTACATTAAAATGATCTTCACAACAGTATAAAGCTGATTGTCGTGAATATTCTTGCCCATCGCCTCTTATCCACCCATTGTTTCCTCGCTTCGCCTTTTGGTACCGGTATGAAAATCTTTGTAGGTGCATTAATTGTTGTATTTTTACACTCCCGGAAAAAACAGAATTTAAAGCGCTTTTTACCATATTTTTTTTCATTGGACATCTTGTGTGAAGCAATATGGCTGACAGCAGTTTTAAGGTTATAAACATGATGTAAATAAGCAACTATGATATAGCGAGTGCGGCGACGGGATTGGTTAACTACCGATGGCTAATAATGACGTCATACGACATTTTTCCGCGAAAAAGTTCGATTTAAATGCGACAATTTATATTTTGTTATTAAAATAATAAATATGCATGACATAATTTTTTATATATTTTTTTAAGAACACATATGGTCTAAATTATTATTTAAAACAATAAAAAAAATACGATTGAAGCCAATTACTGAAATTAGTATTCAATATATATAAGAGGTGAAAAATTTGATTTATTTAACAATATTTTATTTATTGTAACAACGTTACTGTCATCGACATGTAACAAGTGTACATTTTCTTTAAATATTTTAAAGCAACGATATTGTAGAAGACTTGTTCCCAATCCATCAATATGCCAGACGCAATATCCACATTTCGTGAGCTACAAAATGAAAGAATGTAAGAACTGAATGCAAAATATAAATGACAAAGGTGTCATTCATATTTTTGCTTTTTATAAAAAGATCTTTTCTTTTTTATTATTTTTGAAATCATTTATTCCTATACTTCCTATTAAAGAAATGAATGCGCAAAAAAAAACTGCATTTGAACAAAAGAAAATAAATACGTAAATACTTTTCTGAAATAAGAGAAAAGATTCACATAATTTTACAAAAATTTATTTTTAAACATAACCTAATCTTAATCGTTAATGATACTTACAGCTGGCGGCATATTTTCCTGATTTTCCATGAGTCGAAACAGGTCCGCCTCACTCAAGTGTAAGGCGGGGAGAAGGGAATCGGACTAACCGCCAAAAGTTGTGAAGGAGATGGCGTCTCCTCAAAGGAAAGATCCACAAACACGACAATATGTCGTAATGGACAAACTGGATCGTAGGTACTAACGTCAGGAAGGAAAACTGATAATCTCTAGATATCTTAGGTCAACGGGCTTTAATGGACTTTCGTACGGGTTCACACAAACAGGCTTTATTGTCTGTATCACAAAAGCGAATGTTATCGCCACGACTCTCTTTACAGAAGTATGGTCTTCTTGCTGTTCTCTCGCGGGCTGCGCGTACGTACGCGCATGACCGGTGCTCTTGACCAATCCTAGCGGATGTATACAGAACTGCCTATCACAGGCTATCACGTGGTCTGAGGGACCTATCGGTATCTCCGAATATCTTGCGCAACCGCATTACATGACTGCGATGGCTTAAACCAAGTGCGCGCGCCGCAATGGCGTAGTAATCTAACCTAGAACTGACTGATCTCTTACACAAGCTTCTTCTTTTTTTTCGATATTTCAAATCGCGGCCACATTTTTCAAAAAATATAAATGCGGCAACACCAGAACCGAGACGAAACTCGAAAAACCGTAATTTCTCAAACCGCTGATTGTTGCGTATAGGCATAAAACGACGGATTGTCAATGATTGGTCGGATCTTTGATACGCGAACGCGCGTACTGCGATACGCGCCATGGGATGGCACCATTAAGGTGCAAACCCATGCAGCGGAATAACGTAATGCGGAACGAGAGCAGAACCAATAACGAGCATTCCGTGTTTCTAGAGAATCTCGTGATTGGTTCTACTCTCGTTCCGCGTTACGCTATTCCGCTGCATGGGTTTGCACCTTAATGGTGCCATCCCATGGCGCGTATCGCAGTACGCGCGTTCGCGTATCAAAGATCCGACCAATCATTGACAATCCGTCGTTTTATGCCTATACGCAACAATCAGCGGTTTGAGAAATTACGGTTTTTCGAGTCCCTGGACCGAGCGAAGCTTTCAGAGCAAGAGTAGCAAACAGTAGAAGGCGTATGGCGAGAACACCGGCGGTAGTTGTGGAAGTCAAAGAAGACTCGCCAACTGGGCGGCGTTGAAGGACTTGTTCCTCCTTAATGAGGGTCGGAAGGTAACCAACATCAATGTCAGGAGGATGTCCTCGGTTGATATGGCCTGAGTAAACCTTGCAGCAAGAAATAAAGTTTCAAAGTGGCAGGTGTATCCGGAGATAGACCTGTACACTACGCACTGTTGTATAACAATAGAGCTACAGGATGAAACAGGATGCAGAAGAAACAGTAAGCATTTTACAAGATGGAATACCACCAAGTATGCCAGGGATCTAGTGGAAGCGTCTCTTGAGGCTTCGTGCTAGGGAAAGATACCAATAGAGGACTGCGAAATGAGTGAGGATCTGGATGAACAGGAGTTTGATGAGGGCTGCGGACGCTGCGATGCCTAGGGCGGGGAGGTCGCATAACAAAAGACCCGTTTATTGGTGGAATCAGGAAATAGAAGACCAAAGAAGGATTTGCAACGGGATAAGGAGAAGACTCACCCGAGTCAGAAGAGCGAAGAATGGAAACCCCGATGAACTATGGAGAGAGTTGAAGAGGAATAGGAAAACGCTGAGAAAGATGATTTACAGATCAAAAGATAAATGTTGGAGAGACCTAATAGCAACACCAGACGAGGACCCATGGGGTCGTCCGTATAAAATACAGGGTGAATTCGGGTGAATTGGAAGCAAGGGCAGAAGAAATCTCGAGAAGGAAGGTCCCTGGTCCAGACGGAATACCGGGACGGTTACTCAGACACGCGGTCCCGGCTGTGACTCCTATTCTGCTGAGACTGTTCAATAGGTGCTTGGAGAAGGGCAAATTTCCAGCACAGTGGAAGAGGGCTAAGCTCGTTCTGCTGAAGAAACCAAACAAGTCGGACGACGTGCCGTCGTCGTTTAGACCGACCTGTCTATTGGACGAGATGGGAAAACTCTTCGAAAGAATAATAAACTATAGAATACAACAACTGATGGAAAAGGAGGACAGGCTGTCTGACTCGCAGTACGGTTTCAGACCCAGAAGATCAACAACGGACGCTATCTGGAGGCTGAGGGAAATTGTTCAAGATAAAGTCCAACGAGGGGAAAGTGGTAGTAGCGGTCTCTCTTGATATCGCGAATGCATTTAACTCTATTCCATGGGGGGTAATAAAAGAGGCCATAAGAAGTAAGAGAATACCGGGTTATCTGTGTAGAATCGTAGACTCGTATCTGTCAGAGAAGACACTGTCGTACGTAAACAGGGAGGGAGAACTGTGTGAGACGGCAGTGGAGTGTGGGGTCCCGCAGGGTTCTGTGTTGGGCCCCACTCTGTGGAATATCGGATATGACAGTGTTCTGAGAATGAGGCTCCCATTTGGAGGGAAATGCTTGTGTTATGCGGACGACACCCTGGTGCTGGTATCCGGAGAATCGCATGAGGAGGCAATTATGGTAGCGGAATACGCGGTGGTCATGGTGATTGAGGGCATCCAGAGACTTGGGTTGGTGGTCTCGATAGGAAAAACAGAGGCTGTTTTTTTCGCGCCAGGCCCTGCGTGCAGGAGTACGCTGAGAATCGGAGTGGTGGAGGTTCCCGTGGGGACCACCATGAAATATCTGGGGTTGTACCTGGATTCTTGGTGGTCCTTTTGGGAACACTTTCAAAGGATTACGGTTAAATCGGAAAGGATCGCGATTAGTGATGCACGAAGACGAGACAAGACGATATTTTTCAAAATATTGTCTTGTCTCGCAAAAATATTGAAAAATTAATTCTTGTCTTGATCTCGTTATTAAGATCAAAAATAAATCTCGTCTTGATTTCAATATTCTCGAAAATATTGATATTTTTTACTTTAAATTTTTTAATTTAAAAAAGTAATGTACTAAAGACGAGACAAACGATATTTATGATTATTTACTAAGATAAGATCATATCTCTGAATCTAAAAGTATAATCGAATCAGTGCGAACAAAACTTCCAACAGTTGCAAAATAAACTTTCTGCTGAATGCAATTAATTGCATGGAAAAAGGAGGCAGCATATACTACATTTACACGGTTCGATTTACGCCGAAGTTATAACATCGATGTTATGAAAGTGACCAATCACAGTCATTCCATTCTTCAGAAGAATAGCTATGATTGGCCAGTTTCATAACATCGATGTTAAAACTTTGGCGTAAAGCGTTCCGTGTAAATGTAGTAATAGACGATTGGGCGCATGCATAAGGGTACGTTTCCACTGAGCACGTCACGACGTCACGCGTCGCGTCGTCCACCGTGTCACGACGCGACGCGAAAAAGAGAAGTTTATAATATTATAATAAAATTGTATTGATTTTATTTCGTTGCAATAACACAATATAGATTAATATAGATTATAATATAGACTATATAGATTATAATATAAAATAGTAATACTACATATATCAGTGAAAACATTTATATATTCATTTATATAAGTATGAATAAGCCACTAAACCTAATTAAAATTATTTCTATATTTTCTATTAGATGTTATCTATTAATTGATATATTTCTAATATATTTATTTATTTGATATTCGATATTTTCGATATTCTTGAGCCGAGAATATTGATCTTGGAAAAGTAATATTGTCTCGTATCGAAATTTATTAAATCAATATTGTCTTGATATCGTCTTGATTTCGAGACAAGACAAGACAAGAATCTTGATATCTCGAATATTGCGTGCATCACTAATCGCAATGTCTTTGGGAAGACTTATGGGGAATTTCAGAGGCCCAAGGGAAAAACGCAGGAGGCTATATGCGAGCGTCGTGGTCTCGGTGACCATGTACGTGGCGCCCGTGTGGGAGGATGTTGTAATTTCGGATAAGTGGATTATGGACAAAGTCTCGAGAATATTTAGGCGCGTTGCGCTGAGAGTGATAGCGGGCTACCACACGCTGTCGCACCGGCAGCGGCAGTTCTGGGAAGCGTCATACCCTTCGATATTCAGGCGTCGCGCTTCAAGAGGGTGTACATACATCGGGATCAGGCGAAGATTAGCAGAGAGAAGAGACCTTCCGCTGAACTGGAGGGAGGATATAAAACGGGCGGAAAGGGACAGAACAATAGGGAGATGGAAAGATAGGTTGATGGAAATAGTCGAGGGTGCCCCGGGATATAGGGTGAGTTAGGCGATCGCACCGATCCTAGAGGATTGGTTGAACAGAGGGGGGTAAGAGGTCACGTACAGAAGTAGATAGTATAGGCGGGTACGAACTCGGGAGCAATGAGGGGGGGTGAGGTGCGCGGGGAAG